GGGTGATGTACAAGGGATCACTCTCAAGTCAGCTGCTTGGAGAGCACATATCTCACAATGCTAGCCTGGCGTTGTGGGGACTGTCACACAGGAACTGGGGGGAGAGGACGGCTGTACAAATCCCTACTGGGCCATGATGCTCAGTGGGTGACTTTGGGGCAGTCACGCGGCAACCTATCTCATAGGGTTAGTAGGAAGGCAAAATAAGAGGGCACCATTTGTTCAACCTTGGGCTCCATGGAGGAAAATTGGAGAATAAATGCAACCAACCAACCAACCAACCAACCAACCAACCAACCAACCAACCAACCAACCAACCAACCAACCAACCAACCAACCAACCAACTGCACTAGTCTAAGTCAGACCAAGCTCCAGCCCTGTGGACAAAATGGGGAGAGACACTATTAGAGATATGGCAGAAATATGTTCAATACACACACACACACACACACATGTGAGCTTCCAGCTTGGTGATACCGTGGAGTTTGCACTTATTTTATTTTTTGTCAAGTTAACCCAATATTTTTAAAAATAATATCAAATTTGTGATATTAGAGGAAAAGGGGATGCAAAAATGCATATATTAAAGAAAAACATGTTGAAAAATATTTGATTAGAAAATTTGTTACAAAAATCTGCATATTCTTCAAAAGTCCACAAAAACACATGCACTATGAAACAAATATTTGCAAGAAGGAATAAGTGCCTGCTTACATCACCATGTTCCACAGGAGAAAATATTTCTTTTGCATGAGGGTGAAAAGATCAGTGCTGTTTTTGTCAGGCAGCACCATTTGCAAAAAAGGTCACAAGTTGTGTTTTAAAAGTTGGCATATTTTTGCACAAAATATATTGCTTAAAAATTCAAGATTTTTTGCAAAATGGAGTTAGTGGATTTTTCAGAAAGAATTCTCAAAACGTGAAAAATGCATGAAAACAGTCTTACAGCCTTACCTAACCTAGGGAAAAGTTTGGAATTTTTTCATTCTTACCTGGGAGAAAGAACTAAGCAAAGTTAATAATCCATGATCCCCGAGCATTCTTGCTGTTCAGTGAGCTCTATGGACGTTTTCCTTCCCTCCCCTATTAAGTTTCTGTTCCTGTAAAGTTTTTTTTAACTCCTGCATACCTGGAGTTGTCTCCAAAGCCTTTCGCTACTTCCCTCTTGCACAGGGGAGAAACATGATTTTTAGAAGCTGATTAATATACATGATGCTCCTTGAATAAAGCTATGGGTTGAGTCATTAAGTAAGACACCAAAGCAATTCAAACCTGCACCTCCTCCCCAAAACATATAAGCTCCCATACAGATAGTCTTCAAGGAAGAGATTAGTCTCCAGCTGCTCTACAATTGGCTCTCAGTGGTCTTTTCCAAGTCCATCTATCTCCCAGTCCTAGTCATTCACAAAAAAATGAATTGCCCACTTGCAAGCATACATTTCCAACTGTGCCTCTCTTTGTTCATTTCATGCTGCCTTCCTGCTCTGTTGAAAACCACCAAATGCATTGCTATTACCTTAATGTGAGTTTCAAAAGAGTTATTTAGTATGATTACATTCTACCATTTTTATACAGATTTTTTTAAAAGGACTACCAGTAAAATTGCATCTCCACATTACATGCCTTGAATGATTGCAACCAATATTTAATTGGTAGTTCCCTTTTATGCAGAGATTCAGGATGTGATAATTGTGGTCCAGTCGATATCTCCCAAGCACTCCTGGTTCTGCTCTGTTTAGTCCTGAAGGTTTGAAACCCAAGACTGAAGTCACCTCTTGTGCTGTAGGTGGTCAGCTGTACATTCAGCTAGAATGAGCAAGCTTTGGAGATGGTTCTTCACATCTCAAGACCTTTCAGGGACCTTTGTAATGTGTTGCCAATTTGGATAGAACTTACAGTAACCCTAATAGGGCTTTCAAGATAAGTAAGATAGTTAGGAAACATTTTCTACCACTTCCATCCCCCCCACTCCGTGAGCTTCCATGGCTGTGCAAGGATTTGAATGTGGGTATCCTGAGTTCTAGTCCATCACTCTATCCACTACACCATATTGAGTAATTAGGGGCTATACCAGTAGCCAAACTCAAAGCAGAAGTGACTGGTACATAAAGCCAGTCAGTAGTCCAGACAAGACTGAATCCACCAAACTGGATCTATTGATAGTTAGTCAACACTTACATAAATCTCACTGATCCAATTAATCTACTCTCATTGAGCTTCTTGATCAGACAGGGTTGAAAACCCCACACAGAATCATTAATCCAAATTCTGAGATTTAAGTCATGTGACAGAAGCAGCTACCTTGTTAAACTGTAAATAATAATCTTAAAGAAGGAATGGATATTCTTTAAAAACAACCACCACACATTTTTCCTGCCCATTGCCAATATTATGAGCCTGTAAACCACTTCTGATTTACAGCAACGTATGAATTAATATATGAATTAAACTCTCATTGAGCTTCTTGATCAGACAGGGAGTGAGCTCTGATCAAATCCAGGCAATTGAGTGAGCTCCCGTCGCTTTGTCCAAGCTCCTGCCAACCTAGCAGTTCAAAATCATGTAAATGCGAGTAGATAAATAGGTACCACCTCGGTGGGAAGGTCATGGCGTTCCATGTCTAGTCGCGCTGGCCATGTGACCACGGAAACTGTCTTCAGATAAACACCGGCTCTACGGCTTGGAAAAGGGGATGAGCACCGCCCCCTAGAGTTGGACACGACTGGACTAAATGTCAAGGGGAACCTTTACCTTTACTTGTGAGTTAATGATCTCCAAAATGTATTAGCATTAAGAGCCCTGCTCAGGTCTTGGAATCTAAAGGCTCTGGCTTCCAGTGAGTCTTGGCATCCTTTCCTTTATCTTGTTGAGAAAAAGGAAACGGAACTAAGCACTCTGTTTTGCGGAGGAGGCATTGACTTACTTTGCTAAGCAAACAGGGTTTCAGCCAGATCGTATGCGTAGTGCTTCTCAGGGTCTTAAGCAGAGTTCTCTCCCAAGATATGCTGCCAGATGCTTTTAACTCTGAAATGGACAAAGTGTGGCCCTCCAGCTGGAGTGCAGCCTCCATCAACCCCATTGGGAGCTGCAGTCCAACAACCAATTGGAGGGCCAAACATCTCCCGTCCTTGTTTTAAGAGGAAATGCAAAAGACGGACTAAATATCTTCTGCTTGTGATGCATGTGCTGTGGCATAACCACTGCTGGCTTAAAAAATAAAAAAGGCACTCCAGAATTAGGTCTAGGACTAGGGTCAGGGCAATTGATTCTGTTATTTGTACCTCTGGTATTAATAGGTTATAATCCTTGCACTGGATGTTTGCCCAGAGACATTGATGCCATTTTATTTTTCATACTCTTTGTCCTTTCAAAATTTTAAAAAAAATGTTGACAACAAAACAAAGGTGGGGAGGGAGAGAAGATTCACATGAAGCATCACTGGCATTGAATTCTTTTGTAATCTTCCAGACATTGAAAAGGTGCGTAGAACTACAGTAGTTCAAACTAGAGTTGAGCAAACTGCTGCTGGCTCTCTTAAACTAAAATTATTTTAGTTTAATAATTTTAATAATTTAATTTAATAGTTTTAATTTAATTTAATAATTTTAGCTGAATAACAGATGCAAATCCATTCATTTCCCAGAAGGGATTTGGGGAATAAATAAGGGATACCCACTCTATGTTTTCAGTTTCCAGTATGCCATATACAAAGTCACTTCCAGTTTTGATTTGACGTGTGCGCTAATTGGACAACTGTGCAAAATTTTGATTTAATTAGAGGTGTTTGAGAATTGCGGGGCAGCAGCAGGGTGGAGCAAAGAGATGTTTTATCTCTCCAGGGTGGAACAACACTGAGTTAGATTCTTCACAACTCATTTGCCATGTTTAAGTTTCAGAAGACAGTGAGCAGTCTGAATGGAGGAAAATAAAATTAAACACAATACAGTAAACTACTCATGGAAACAGGGGATAACAGCAAGACTGAAGCACTAGAGAGGGTTCAGATTGAGACCACCATTGTGTGTGAGGGTGTATTAATGTTCAAGAATATTTTTTTTCTTTGTTTTCTCACTCAGCTTAGTTTAATAAACTTTACTGAAATATTGTTTCTATATTAGGATTGATTCTGTGTGTGCATGATAGTGAAAGAATTATTGCTGTATGGGCCTTGTGTGAATAGGTCACGCCATTAGGGCACTGCATAGCCCTTCCACATTATACCTTTTTGTGTTCCCACCCCATTTTCAGGGATGGATTTTATTAAACAAACAAACAACCGAGAGATCCAGAAACACAGAGGTCATGTCAACCATGCAGCAGGTTTGAATGTTTCCTAAAGGACATGGGGCAAGTCACCTTTGAATTGTTTTCCCTCTATTCTGGTGCAGAGTGGATTGGGAGCTGTTGCACGCCCTAGTTTTGACTAAAGACCATTTCAGGGGCCCCAAAAGGTGTAAAAATTGTTGTAAAATTGAGAATCATGCTGCCCGGAGTCTTCTAAGGTATGGTTGATTTTGTTTTGCAAGGAAAGGCTCTGGGGAGTCTACACATCCTACCCAGGATCCTTGGTAAGCTGCGTGTCACCTATGAATTTTGCATTTTCCATCACGATGCTGTGCCTTCCACTAAATGCACAAAAGGACCTGGAAGGGACTAGAAGGTGTGATCTCACCTCTTCCTTCCCCTGTTTACTGACCCCATTTTTAGGTATGGGGCTATGTTTTCCTTCTGGCTCCTGATCCACTGACTGGGAGTGTGTTAGGGGCTTTCAGTACAATAGGAAGGGTTGTGGAAACTTTAAAGATACTTATCCAATGTTTTATGGTCAATCTTTATATCTTAACAACTCTGCCAAACCAAATGAATTACTGTAAGCAGGACGGTAATGATAACTGGATTTCTCCTGTACACAAGAGACTTCTGTGGTTACTAACTGATGTGGATAGTTGTTTTTTGTTTTTATGTTGACACTAACTTCTCTCCTTTCCTTTCTCTCTAGGATTCTCCATTTTGCAAGCAATTATGGAAGCCGCTGTACAGAATAATTGGCAGGTGACAGCTCGATCCATGGGAAGCATAAAGGATGTTCAGGAGTTTAAGGCAATCATTGAGGAAATGGACAAGCGCCAGGAAAAAAGATACCTGATCGACTGTGAAGTAGAAAGAATAAACACCATTTTGGAACAGGTCTGTGGTGGGCAAGCAACTTCGTTTTCAGCGATGCACATAACATTACGTCATAGCACTGGTGATGATGAGTACTGACTGGGTAGAGGACGTGCTAGCTGAGGGTGTGGCTGTCAGATCTTCTCCTGGGGATTGCCAGAGCTTGAGAAGTTCCTTTTAAAATACTGTTCATCATAACTCCCAGAGTGCCTCAGCTAGTGTGGGAGTTCTAGTCCAAAAGGTGCAGAAGGAGTTTTCTAGCATGGAGCATACAGCAATATCATTATGCATTCAGATGAGTGAACAGACCCATCTCTCCTTCCTTCCTTCCTTCCTTCCTTCCTTCCTTCCT